GCCGAGCACGGGAGGGGAAGAGAACCGGTGCTGTAGTTGCGCAAAGGCAGTCTTCTCGTCGTCAGCCCAGACAAATGGTGTGTCATGACGCGTGAGACGTAATAGTGGCTCCGCAATGTTAGAGAAATTTTCAATAAAGCGCCGGTAATACGCGCACAGATCCAGAAAGCGTCGAAGACTTTTCTTGTCAGTTGGAGGTGGAAAAGTGGTGACGGCCGCAGTTTTGTCAGGATCAGGCCGAACACCAACGGCGCTCACGACGTCACCAAGAAAATTTAATTCTTCGTAGCCGAAATGACATTTCTCAGACTTGAGTGTGAGATCGGCCGATCTAATGGCTTCGAGCACATTCTGAAGGCGACGAAGATGCTCGTCAAATGTTTCTGAAAACACAACGACATCATCGAGCTAGACGAGACAGCTTTTCCGCTTGAGGTCTGCCAGGAGGGTGTCCATCATTCGCTGGAATGTGGCTGGAGCGGATCAGAGGCCGAAAGGTAGCACTTTGAATTCATAAAGGCCATCCGGCGTTACAAAAGCGGTCTTTTCCCGGTCACGTTCATCGACCTCTATTTGCCAATAACCGCTCTTCAAGTCGACGGACGAAAAATACTTCGCACGTCGCAGCTTGTCCAGAGAATCATCTACTCTGGCCAACGGGTACACGTCTTTCTTTGTGACATTGTTCAACTTTCTGTAGTCGACACAAAAGCGAAGCGTGCCATCTTTCTTTTTCACAAGAACGACTGTGATGACCAAGGGCTGCTTGAAGGCTGTATCACGCCATCCTGAAGCATTTCCTTAACCTGCGTTAGAATCGCGTGCCGTTTGGTTGGCGAAACACGATAAGGCTGCTGCCGTATGGGATGCGCGTCGTCGTAAGTGATAGTACGGTGTTTCGTTATCGGTGTTTGACGTATCTTCGAAGAACGTGCAATGCATGTGTGGAACTCCAGCAACAGCTCGCTCAAACACTGCTTGTTCGCTTCAGAAAGCGTTGGATTGATGTCGACGCTGCGGAAAGGCGTTTCAGCAGTTCCGATGGCCTCAGAAGCAAAACACTCGGTGACATTGGTGACTGGGTCGGCGTAGGCGATGACAGTTCCAGGAAAAAGGTGCCGGTGCTCGTAGCTGAAGTTTGTGACAAAAACGTTGCAGTGATCATCACGAAGGTCAACAAGGCTTCTCGCTGTGCAGACACCCTGAGACAGCAAAAGCAAGTGATTGCTTTCTACGACTGCTTCACCGTACATCACTCCATCCCACGCCACATGAATCACAACAGTCGCACGGGTTGGTAACGTGGCAGCGTCGTCAACGACGCGAAGAGACACTCGGGAGTGGCTGGGGTCGGCGTAAGCTGTTGTGGCGTTTGTGGTCGTGAAAGTGACTAGACGTCGTCGAATGTCAGTTATAGCACCATGCTCCCTGAGAAAATCCATGCCAATAATCAGGTCTCGAGAACACTGCCGGAGAACGCTCAAACTAGCAACAAATGTACAGCCGCGGACTTGCAGTCTTGCCGAGCACATACCGAGTGGCGGGACGATATGCCCGCCAGCTGTACGAATTGGCGTTTGGTTCCAAGGCGTCGTTACTTTCTTGAGAAGGGCGGCCAGATTTTCGCTAATTATGGAATAGTCCGCACCAGTGTCCACTAAAGCGCTGACTTCGCGACCATCTAGCAGAACAGGAATATCTAAGAAAACTCTTTCGTAATCAGCCGGTGGTGTCGTTGTCGATGTATCGTCGGTATCTTCAGTCCGCGTCGATAGGGGACTTGAGCATGACCAGTCTGAGCGGCCTTGCCCCTGAAGGTCGCTGAGCCTAGTTTTCCCGACGCGGGCTAGGTGACCGACCCTGCGCCACGCCCGCATTGGTGCGATAATTCGGCGAGAACTGCCGCGGTGATGGAGAGCGTGAGTGGTGCCAAGATGTCGATCCGCGCTCCTGAGTAACGTAGTCAGCGATTTCCGGAGGCCGCTGGCCGAATCCAGGAGGTGGAGAGTTGGCCAAAAAACCACGAAGTCCCAGCTGTCGATAAGGGCACTGTCGGTAGATGTGCCCAGGTTCACCACGGTGGTAGCTAAGGGGACGTCGATTAAGGGCGCGCCACACGTCTCATTTTCGCGGAATTGGTCGGCGTCTTCACGAATCGAATATAGACTTTACTCTGAAAACTAAACAATTTAAATGTCATCATAAATCCTTTCTTCTTTTGACTAAAGACATAGTAGATCCATAGGCTTTTATATTTAGGAATACTTGTATACTGAGTTGATTTTTTTTTTCTTACTGTGAACAATGATACTTAAACAGAATCGTTTGATACCAAAATTGTTTCCTGTTTATGTAAAACATATTCTGAATGTATACTATGTAACTAAATAAGATATGTATAATGTCACTTATTTGTATATGTATGTTACTGATGTGTGAATATGTGTAATATGGCACTGATGCAGACTGTATCAGGAGGTCAAGACCTCGTCAGGCTATTTAGCCTTTAGTCTTTGCCTCCCGCAGGGAAGTTTTTGTATTTTCCTGCAAATAAACTTTGAAACTTTGAAACTTTGTCACTGAGGTACGGGCCCGCTTGGACTGCCCGAAGCATGGCTGGGGCTGTGGTATAAAGCGGAGTGAAATGTGGTGCATGTTGGCGCAGAGTTTGGTCTGCCGGAAGCATGGCAGGGGCCGCGGTGGGAAGCGGAGCCAAAGGTGGTGCTGGCTGGAGCAGAGTTTGCGCATATGACATGCGAGGGAAGTCATTTAGGGGCCGCGGCTCTGTCTGACAGGACGGTTCTCGTAGTGCCTGCTGAACTTCATCTCGGACGATGCCGGACAAAGAACTGACAGTGGGCGCTGAAGGTACAGATAACTTCTGCAGTTCTTCGCGAATTACAGAGCGTATGAGCTCTCGGAAGAAGTTGACGTGGGCCCCCAGACCACCCATGTAGTCCGTAGCAGAAGCAACGTTCACTTGTCGCTCGTACGTCTGGGTCCGTTGCCGAAGCGTGCTTTCAATCAGGACGGCTTCAGCAAGAAACTCTGACGTAGTCTTGGGGGCGGGGGGGGTGCTGCGTACAAGACCACCGAACAACTGCTCCTTCACTCCACGCATCAGGTATCGCACCTTCTTCTCTTCCGGCATGTGAGGGTCAGCTCGTCGAAAAAGACGTGTCATGTCCTCAACATACATTGCTACGCCTTCCTTTGGCATTTGCATACGGCACTGGAGTTCACGTTCCGCTCGCTCTCGGTGATCGGGACTTGCATACGTTTCAAGAAGCCGGCGTTTGAAGTCCACCGATGATGTGAACACACCTGCCCGGTTTTCGTACCAAACACGTGCCCCGTCATTCAAACTGAAGTAGGCATGCCGGAGCTTGTCTGTGTCATCCCACATGTTATGAGCGGCAACGAAGTCATAGTGGACTAGCCAATCTTCAACATCCTCATGGACAGCACCATGAAAGGGATTCGGCGTTTTTGGTTTGAACAATGTATATTGCAATGGCGTTGCGCCTTCCATACCGGCTGGGTTGGAGCCGCTTGGGACGGCACTGCCTGGAATAGTTGGGGCCGTCATCTCCTCTGAGAGAAGTCCGAACTCAGGGTCCAGTCCACGGATCCTGCGGCTAGCACGGTGAACAGGCGTAACCACCGGTATAGGGCTGGAGCTTCTTGTACTAGGAGGGGTTCAGTGCATAGGGTACCAAGCACCTCCACCAGTTGTCACGCGCTAAGAGCTCGAACGAACGTATAAAGGGACGCAACTGTCAAAAATCTCAGAGACAAAGAAGGACGTCTCCGCTTGCACGGGTTGCTCGTTTTCGTCTTCCTCGTTCTCCGGCACAGAACTGACCCACTGTTCGCTGGCACAGAACACCAGGTGGCAATAATCACAAACGTATTATGTACCTTGTTACGTATTATGTACCCTGATTTGCAACCTGCCGGCTGCTTCGCATTGCATCGACTCCTACAATGCGTGAAATCTGCTGGTTATTCGCAAGTATAGGGATTTTACCGCAAAGTTCTCAGCGTTGTTTAATGTCGTGCAATTTTCTCGCACTAGCAAGCAGTCACATCACCTATAAATCAAATTGGTTATCGTACGTCTTGCTTTTGCTTTGTATTAGCGAATCAATTGATGTATACAACTGAGAAGAAAAATATGTCTTTCGCATTCGACTTGTTTTAGGCAAATGCACTAGGAACATGAGACTTTACTACAGTGACTTTATTAGTACATTACGTAGCTAATGGTCTTATTACTGAGAATTAGTCTAAAATCCTACGCATTCATTGTGCCTGATGCAAGCATTTAGGCTTCAAGAAAGCGATAACGAAGAAGAATGTAGACTTCCTCTATCGTTTTTTTTTTGTAATATTCACGCCGAGATGTTAGCATGTGTATGACGAAACAGCTCAAATCAAAGCTTTGCCTTCTAACTCCGTTATCGGCTGCAAGTGATTTCACACGGTAACGCATGCGAGCCTTCCGTTCTAGCTCTTGGTCTAAGCGCGCCGCCAGCGATTCTGTGATTTCCATGTAAAAGTTGTTTCTGTACAAATTATTAGCCACGTTGGGCTTCACCAGCTCATTATTCTTTAGCGAGCAGCAAGTCAACAAATATGAAATGGATAACCTTCCCGCTATTTGACAATGACCTCCCTCTCCCACTAGAACATGATGGTGTTCCAGTACATCTAACCAGTGGTAGCAAGTTTTCGTTTCCCTGACACTCCTGATCAAGCATAAAGCTATCTTTCAGCATTAATCTAGTACCTGCGTTTTGTGGCATCTCGGACATAAATTTGTTTGCTCGCTGCAACGTATAATACGCCATTCTAGCATGCGATGCGCTGGAGCATCTTCTCAATTTGGACTTTATAAACTACATGACACTGACAGTGACGGTGAAGAACCGTCTAGACTTCTTATACAATTACTATCACAATAAAAAAAGACGAAGCAGCATAGACTACGTACTTACCAGTATGTCGATTTGCCCAAAGTGCTTTGCGGTCTTCTCGACTACAGCACGAATGTCGTCCTCGATCGTTATATCTCCGGGTGCCACAATAACCTACAAAAATAATACCAGAACAGTCGTATGTACAATAAAAAAACATAACTACGTTATTACGTCACGCGTGTAAATCATTCTACACCGGCAGGCCTGCGCAAAACGCGCAGCACTGTCACCCTGAAAACAGGAAAAGTGGTCCTTCGGAGCCTCTCTTAACATTCTTTGGTAGCTGCTGCAAGCACACTTGCAGGGTACCCATTGAGATATTCATCACTGTGTAGTAGACAGGCATGATGATGATAAAAATGACGCCTTAAACATGGCTCCAACTCACTCAAAGGGATTCACAATGGCATTCGTCATTATTTTAGAAACGTGGTACCCGCTGCACACTTGCTACGAACATTGTGCGTTTTCATTTGCTGTTGTTGTTCTGACTGATGACGGCAGAGAATTATGCCAGAAGCTTTTCTAATCCCCACAGTAGGTATGCGCCATAGTTAATAGGTGAACACGATGAAGCTTTTCGAATATTTTGGAGCATTTGCCGACCCAATCGTCCCGCAATTCGCATTGCGTAACACCTGGTTTTTTTCCTGGCTGTTCTAAAACCCTTTTTACGCATATTAACGAGATTACTTTGTCAACCCCAAGCATTCCTAAAGCCGATTTGCATAGGCTTTAGGCAGGAATAACTCGGTGCTGGAATACTGGGCTGGCACGCAGGGGAGCCGGGATTGAATGACATTGTGTTTTTGGTATTTTTTATTTGCTTCCGTTTTAACTTCTTTTGTGCGATAGTGGTTGCGGACACCGGCGGCAGCGGACAACTACGGCGCTGCAAACGAACCATATGGTGATCTTATAACAGCTTTCGCTATAACAGAGTTCGAATTGATAAGATATCACAGGGGTCTAAACACGCGCTCTCAGGGTCATTCGCTTGCGACCTATGGCTACACAGAGGGTAAAGTTTTATGACCTTGCTATGTATTATGCACTTTACATTTTCAACTATTTCATTTTATAGTGTTTTGTCAGGTTAGGCTGCAGAAACAGGATGGGCCTCAATGCACTTCATTTTGTAGAAAAACTATTCATTTCGGAATTGTATTCACTCTAGAGATAGGCATTCATATCTATCTCCGAACCTGACGTCGAATCTTCATAGATTGGGAAACATATTTTATTTTCAATAACCACAATGGGTTACATTGGTTGTCTACCCCCTCCCTCATTCCCTATATTTACCCTTCTTCACTGTTCTGACTTTAGTTCGACCATGTTTTGTGACTGCGCTTCGCTAGCTACGATAAGCTTGAGACCCCTAAACTATTGGATCCGAGATAAACAAAGAGAAGCCGATACACCATAAATATAAATATTTGAGACCATATAGCGATTAAACACGTCAAGTAGCACTGTACATTCCGCATGCAGGGCATTCGAAGGTGCTCTAGAGACAAAAAGATACGCGTGTTGCCAGGCTTCGCTGAAGGCACGAGCGTCCTGAGAATCGGCCCCCGTAGTGTGATGACGGGATGCGATTTTGGCAAGGTAAATAAGCAAAGGTAGGACTACCTTGCAGTAAAACAAGCTACACTTCCTTAGCAAAGTAATCTAAAAAATCGTGCTTCTCCCATACATTATGGCAACCAGCTATGTGCGAATCAGCAATTGTTTTTTTTTTTTCGGTTTGAGCCATGCGTTATCAGGTGAACCGTCGTCTTCGAGTGAACGTAACAGGAATGGGCAAAGATGAATGGAGAACGAGAGCAAGAGAGGAAAAATGGAGGTCGGTGAAAAAAAAACAGCAATCCGGCGCGGAACCCGCCACACATCTAATCACAGCAAAAGCTGGAGAAGTGGACTTTCTAGAGGCTTTTTAAAGACTCTTGGGGCTACTACAAACGCGCGTGCGTGGTACCCATTTCGCCATAAATCGTAAGTTCTGTGCAGTGGGGGAGCGCTCACAAGCCATTGTTTGTCATTGTTCAGAACAGCGTTGTGCCCGCTACAAACTTCCAAGAAACTTGGTGCACTTTGTTGATGCTGCGGCTGTCGACAACGAAGAATTATGCGTGAGGCTCTTGTAAGGGCCTGGAACATTCAATGGTCTCATCTCTACACAGTTCGCATTTTGTTACGCCTGGTTGTTACTTTGCTGTTCTAAGATGCTTTATTACACACGATAGTGTGAATCCTTACGCGAGGTAAAGCTTGCATAGGGTCAGTTTTCAACAAAGTATCAAACAACGGCGAATGGCTCGGTGGTAGCACACTCTGGTTGTCAGCCAGATGGCCGGAGATTTCGCACAATAATGGTTAGGGATACGATAATGGTTCGCTCACCACCGTCGTCCCTTTGTGATTTTTCGTGCCGTATCAGTGAAGTTTCATGAAAGCTAACTTTTCAAAATAAGAACGTAGTGATTGTAGGTAATGTGAATATTAACTTGCTTGCCACGGACAGTACTGCTTATGCAAATTACACGGATTGTTTCACTGAATTTTGCTTTGAATCACTTGTTGAGTGTCCAACTAGAGTAGCATCTCCAGGTACCGGTACACTCATGGATCACGTGTTATTCAATTTGGCGTCAACACCCTGCGTGGGGGTTGTTGAGACTGATATCGCCGATAATTTTCTTATCTTCCTTACATTCGAAAACATAACCCACACACGCAATATTAGCTATTCTACATCTGTATTTAGTTTCGATTGCTTTGTTGTGGCTATCAGTACAGCTGGGTGGGTGCCTGTTATGTCTATGTCAGACCCAGATGCAGCCTTGCGAGCATTTTGCTCGTGATTTTTACTCGCCGTTTCGACCAACACGCGTAGTGTCCAATGCAAAAAAAAAATGCAAGTATCCGCACAAACAACGGATGACCAATGGTCTCCTAAAAAGTTTAATGAAGAAAGAAAACATGTATAAAGAAAGAAGCGTCAGCCCTTTATTTTGGGTCTTGCCAAGCGATAAAAGTCACTTTGCAGTCTGTTAAATACCTTGCTCAAGCAAGCGAAAAAAGGGTACTACGAAAATGAATTCGACAAGAATAGGACTAACCCTAAAAGGCAGTGGCAGCTGCTCAACTCCTTCCTTAACAAGTCATCTGCTATTGTCCCTCCAACCAAAATCGACTACAATGGATCCACCTTCTCTGAGCCCAAAGAAATTGCCAATGCTTTCTCGGAATACTTTTCTTCCGTCTATACTAAGCACTACCCCCATGCTCAGTCGTATACTTCTCGGGGACGTACCACGCAGTCATTCTTTTTTTCCCAACAACACCACGAGAAGTCTTTCCCACTATTGCTAATCTAAAAAATACAAGGCCTGGGTTAGATGACATTTGTGTAAGGCATTCAAACCTGGTTGCACATTTATTTTCCGATAAGCCGTGTTATATTATCAACCTTATGTTTCAACAGGGTTTATTTCCTTCATTCTTAAAAAAAGCTAAAGTAATTCCAGTTTTTGAAAAAGGTGAATAACAAACAGTTTCTAACTAGCGTCTGATTTTGATTCTTTCTTGCCTCAGCAAACTAGTCAAAAAATTGTTTGTTGAAGGTCTGAATGAATATTAAGTTAAATTTAGGTTGCTTAAAGACAGCCTATTTGCTTTCCATCCAGGTAGGTCAACAAATCTAGCTGTGCTGTCGCTAACTGATTACGCAAAGAAAAGTATCGATTCGGGAAATTTAGTGCGTTCGATTTTTTCAGATCTTACTAGAGCCTTTGACACTGTAAATCATCAAGTCTTATTGCATAAACTTCAGTCCTGTGGTATAACTGGCCCTGCACTTACAATCTTAACAAATTACCTACTTGACCGAGAGTACACAGTACACACTGCAAATACCTTCTCTACAATAAAATATGTTAACCAGAGAGTACCGCAGGGCTCAGTATTTGGTCCTTTCCTATTTATTTTATTATATGAATGATCTTCCTGATGTTCTTAGCTCTTTTGACTGTAGTCACTGTGTTCTGTACGCTGACGACACAACAATATCTTCATCTGATAAAAACATTTATGCTCTTGTTTCAAAGTTAAATCTTGCATTAAGTGCCCTCATGAATTGGTGCACCAGTAATCACTTGTTATCAACCCGACAAAAACTAAATTTACGATGTTTAAAAGTGCTCAGAGGTCATTATCTACTATTCCCTTCATACAACTTGGTATTCATTCCATTTCTGCTTGTTCTGATATTGTCTTTCTTGGCATACATCTTGGCCCATGCCTTACCTTTTGCAGTCACTTTAATCATCTTAAGCAGAAGACGGCGTTTGGTATCCGTGAATTATTCAAAGCTCGCCCTTTCTTTTCCCGTGAAGCTCTACTGGCGCTGTCTTTTGCGTCCATTCATAGTCATATTACTTACGGTGTAGTCTCATGGGGCAACACTTATGCTTGTCATTTATCATGAATACAGCACATTCGAAATCAGTCAATACGCATTGTCACTTCTAGTTCTTCGCAATCGAACGCCTACACATTACTACGCTTTTACAATATCTTGCCAGTAAATCTTTTGACCTTATTGCACGAATCGCTGTATAATTAACTGGCATTCCCATTTATTGCATCTGATATTTTGCAGGATAATAATGTGACCAGGCTTGCAGCTAATAAAAATTTCCCATTAGCTCTCGCTCACACTAATTATGAGCAAAACACTTCCGCTTTCAGTGTGATATCCTTTTAAAATGCGTTACCTCCTAGCATTAAGCATTGTACTTCATTTTATTTGTTCAAAAAGTCCGTCAAAATCGTTTTCTCGAATAACCATACTTGTGATCATTTACCAGTTTGACTTGTTTGTTCTTCGGTTCTTGTTATACCATCGGGAATAAATCCCGGCTGCGGCGGCTGCATTCCGATAGAGGCGGAAATGTTGTAGGCCCGTGTGCTCAGATTTGGGTGCACGTTGAAGAACCCCAGGTGGGCGAAATTTCCGGAGCCCTCCACTACGGCATCTCTCATAATCATATCGTGGTTTTGGGACGTTAAACTACAAATATCCATTCATCTTTTTATACCATGCTGCGTGTTTCGGTTTGATTTGTTATGTAAAAGTGTATATCGATGCCCGTATATTGTAAGAATTTTCTGTTGCTCTGTATAAACTTTACCATCATTTTGTATCGACAAACCGGGGGCCCCACTAAAGTGTCTGGCTCTGGGACCCTCGTCTGCCTATCCTAGATTTTGTAACTTATTTTTGGAAAATAATAATCTTGAAACTTAAGCTTGAAACTTGACACTAGCGACGGCAGCGGACAACTATGGTGCCTAAATAGACCCTTGTTTTGATCTCCCAACAGCTTTTGCTGGAAAAAATAAATAAACGGTTCGTTATTAAAGTAAGCTATAATAAATACAAAGAAACAATAGGCTGTGTCCACTCGATCTTCGTTTGATTGAGTACCATTTCATACAAAAACACTACGTCAAGGACAGAAACGTAGCCAGACTTTTTTTTTCCGGAAGAGGGGAGGCACCACCTTGATTTCGGGAGGGGCACCCCTTTTAACTGGCCTTTTTTTGTGTTTACGCCGTGGCGAAAAAAGTTTCCGTTGGGAAGAGGCACATCCCGCTGTGCCACCCCCTGGCTACGCCTCATGGTCAAGGAGGACTACCCTTTCGGACAGCGTATATAAAAAGATTTCTCTATTTCTCCTGTAAAGCAGTTACATCAGATGAGGACTGGGTGAGGGCATCTACCGTTGAAGTAATAATAGGAGCGCCAAGTAAATAGTATTTGGCACCACAGCCACAATGTTAACGGATGTGATCCTCATTTATATATGAATTATTCTCTGTTACTGCACGGCACTTCTGGATAGATAAGAAGTTCTAAACGCTGGAACATAAATTTGTGGTTATGTTATCGGACTAAGTGGTGAAATGGCTCGCTCGGAAACTTAGACCTTAAGCGAACTGTTCATGGGTGGTACACGTACTACGATGCAGCCAAGGAACGTCTCAGGTGGATGGGTGAAATCTGACGGTGCTTGGTGTGTCTGCGTGGTCTATTAAGGACGCCGTTCTGCCCGAGACGTACAATCGTTATTTTTGTAATGTATGTATGGAGGAGTTGCAGACAGCTGCTACTCCTCTTGTACAGTAGTTAGTTATCACAAAGTGTAAAACGAACACAAGGCTATGGAAAGGCAATGAGTACAATACTCACGCGCTTAGTCCATGCTGTGTGACACAAAAGCATGTGCATGCAGCAGTACATTTGACAAATCATGAGTATTCCCTCTATTGAAACGTGCCCGAAAAACCATCAAAGTTCGTTGGGAAGTTGTCATAGCCAACCACATCACTATAGTTCTCCGATACCGTACAATCTTCTGTTTCGTCGTGTTTCCGTGCTATTAAGGCAAAGATGGGGCTGTAACAACCAGTTCGAACCATGACCTTACTGCTTTGGAGATTTTTTTTCTTTACTCATGGTAACTTACGCTGAGCTACACAGCTCACCTTGTCATGGGGAATCCCCTTTGCACGGCACGCCTCCGCCACATTCTCCAAGGCCGGTATGTTCCGTGCTGTCAGCGTAAGCCAGCAGCCGTGGGAGGCAAAACACAAGGCCGTGGCTTCTCCAATACCCGAAGAAGCACCTGCGTAAACAAATAAACATGAAAAAATAAACGGTGCTGCTTCTGTCTACGAAGTGAAACGTGTCTTCACGGTACTGCTTGATCGTTGATTGTGCACGGTTTCTCCTCAAGGTCGAAGCAATAAACGCTACATCAGCGATTTGTGATATCACGCGAAGAACGGCAAGCAACTCAAAACTTGCCTCGCGAAGCTCAAGCAGAAAGCACGCACGCAACGGGCATATACACAGGACGAGAATGTACAAACTGTCACAGCTCGACACTGAAAGGCCAACTCCAGCGATTCTTTTATTTGTTACAGTAAGAATGTTTTATGCTCCTGAGACACTCTTGTCACGCACCCAATAGCTGAAATGCTCAACAAATTTGAAAATAATTTTTAATTGGCAAAATACCTCAATGCCAAAACCGCAACCTAACCGAGAACGCCTCTACGTATGACGTAATGCTTTGCCAAAACCTGCCTGAGGGCCCATAACGCCGCCAAATGGCACTACTTGTCCAGGCTGTCCAAGTGTGTTCCTGCGGCGGTAGGGAAAAACGCTTACGCTGTTATGGTGAATCGTGTGCGGCCCACAACGCAACAACACTTGCCCTCCATCGCATGCCAACCAACACGAGAAAGGAAGTCGCACGCTCAACATAGAAAGCGACGGCCAATCCCGCAGAATCCATAGCAGACAAGCAGACGCTGCAGTGGCATATCAGTTCCGCCACTTCCGCTATGCAAAAATCAATGTCACACACACATCGCTGCTAATAATTCTGACAAGCAAGGGGATCGAGCGTTTGGAGGCAAGCTATCAAATTCATTTGAAAGGAATGTGCAAAACTTACTAGCCTGCAATTGGTCATGAATGGCGCAAACGTGCAAATGAACGTACCCAGTAAATTTCATCGAGATATATAACCTCGAAAAATCCCCCGGGGTGGGCCTTTCAAGGGCGCTGCTGAAATAGCAGTGACACACACGAAACAAACACACCGGTACACGCAGGACGAGTTCGAACTCTCGCAATTCTTACTACGTGTGTGAGCAGAGCGCTCCTTTCGTGAACGCGGCTGCGGCAACTAGCGTAGTGCTTTTCATGCTTGCTTTAACCACTCTAACTTCAAAGCAAACTTGCGGTGGAAGCACAAGAGCTGCAGAACACCGAACTACGACATAGGCACGTGCGCATGAGCAGCGCCTTGTGTAGGTGCGCGAGCGTCGCGATGCGTGGGGCGATGACCTTCAAAACACGCCCAACGAGCACCCTTCACGCTGTTTCACTACTGATCATGAAAACGCACTGAAGTTCCTGATCTCTGAGGACCGCCAATGGTATATAATGTATATAAATGGACCGCCTTCAGCATACCAGACAACGTACGCTTCGTAGCCTGGTGGTTTTGCGGTGCGTGCTGCGGAACAAGTGGTCGTAGCCTTGTCGCCCGGCTATGAAACTTCTTCTTCTAGTGTTTTGCAAAGTTGTTAGTATATAGTTTACGATGTCATATCCGTGCCGGGAATGTGTCAGCGGAACCGTACTGAACCTTAACATAAAACACTCTTGTAGTATAAAAACAAAACATAGCTGTTTTCAGAAAGGGAAGCGTGTCTCGAAAGAGGTAGTTGAGCGTTACTTGTGCACTGCTTCGCCCCAAGGGGGAAAGAATGAATGGTACAGAAACAAATTTAGAATTCACGCGAATAGAAGGAAGCAGCTCGAAACTTGCAGCGCGCTCCTCAAGTACAAAGCACGCACGAAATGAGCATACACAGGACGAGCGCAGAGAAACACCTGTCACAGCTCGACACTGGAAGCAGGCTTATCTATCACAAGAAGCACGCGCAAAATGAACGCACAGCCATACACAGGACGAACGCGAACTGCGCATTTGCTACTTCTTTGTGTGTTAGCCGCACGCTTCCATCGCAAACACGACAATTTTATCGAGCGAAGTGACCCTCGTGAGCTTTTAACGCTGCCTTGAAGAAGAACAACACACCCTCCCGCGCTCGCCTCACAAGAGAAGAATTTCATATTGGGAGCGTTCGTTGTGGCTTTTTTTTTTCACTAGTGTAGTAGCGCGTTTTGAGTTCATCTGCAAGCATCCTCTAGAATCTTCATGAGTTCCCCCGCTAGTCTCAACTTCAATTAGGTGTATTCCGCAAGCGAACCCTGACCCACTCATCGTCTGCAGTTTCCAAGGTTTCCACGTCTGACTCACGTTTGAATCTAAATAACCAGATTTTGATAGCACAGCAGCAATGATACTCTAGACCCATGCTCAATGCAATCAGATTCCTGGTGTTTCATAGTTCGGGGTAGCTGGTCTCAAAAAGCTGCAAACTCATCGCGCGGATGATAGGCACAGATTGTTGTGCTTAAGCTAACAAGTAAAACATCTTCAAAATGAGGTTCCACCTGTTTTTGCGGAAGAGTGTCCTGTAGGGCCATTTGGTATAGAGATCAAAACACACTTGTCTTGGACGCTGGAGTACGTGAATATACCCTGTTGTTGTCCACCGCTGCTACCTACCTTTAGCCACAAGCTTCTCTTCATGCTTAATTTTTGCACAAGAACTCAGCATGCGCTATCACTTTGTTAGGTATCATTGCGGCGTCAATCGGGGCGTCTTTCTTCACAAAACGGCAGCTGGAGAGCCGGCTGGGCGCTCTAGACAAGTGCGGTTCCACCTGTAGGTGTTACCGAAGTTAAAGAATCGCGAAAACGCACCGGAGGTCAAAAATTAGACCACACAGGCGCTGACGAACGACAACGTGGATGTCTGTTTAATGCAACGAAACAGGTACTCGAAAATTAAAGATTAAAAAAACGCGACTGTCACACGACGATCACTTTGAGGAATAATAATTGTCCGCCACTTGCTCGATAATACCGTTATGCCGACATTTAAAAAGCCTGATTGACGGGTCAATGAGGCACGTGTTATCTTTAAATTTGAAGAACTTGTAGATTTCAACTTTCTAGTTCTATGACATTTATCTTTCCCTTTTTCTGCATTCAGGGAAAGACAATGACGAAAAAAGTTGTGTCTACTGTGGCTCTGGCGGAGTTAGAGATAATGTCTGAAATTCCTTATTTTTTTTGTCTTCCCTAATTGCCGACGTCTATATTCACAGTCAATTTACAGTCAATCAGTGCCTTTGTATTAGGTCATCAGGGTTGCTGGGTTATTGACATTCGCTCGAACGTTGATTAAGGGCCATTCATATTTGACCTCGAAGAGGGTGAAAGCGGCAAAAATCAGCGAAATTTCACTCGCTTAGACATCCACGCGGCCGGTAAATTACGCCCACAGCCCAACGTCAAAAAAAAAAGCTGAACGCCTCTTCATTTCAGGCGAAAACGGCATAATACAAGAGGCTCGTGTAGTGTGCTATGCCATCATCATCATCATCATCATCATCATCATCCTGACTACGTCCACTGCAGGACAAAGGCCTCTCCCATGTTCCGCCAGTTAACCCGGTCCTGTGCTTGCTGCTGCCAATTTATACCCGCAAACTTCTTAATATCATCTGTCCATCTAACCTTCTGTCTCCCCCTAACCCGCTTGCCTTCTCTGGGAATCCAGTTAGCTACCCTTAACGACCAGTGCTTATCCTGTCTACGCGCTACATGCCCGGCCCATGTCCATTTCTTCTTCTTGATTTCAGCTATGATATCCTTAACCCCCGTTTGTTCTCTAATCCACTCTGCTTTCTTCTTGTCTCTTAAGGTTACACCTACCATTTTTTGTTTCCATGTCGGTGCACGTTAAAAAACCCCAGGTGGTCGATATTACCGAAGCCCTCAATCAGAGCGTCTCTCGCAATCTGATGAAGATGTTGATACGTCAAACTTTTGATGTTATTATTATTATTATTATTATTATTATTATTATTATTATTATTATTATTATTATTATTATTATTATTATTATTATTATTATTATTATTATTATTATTATTATTATTATTATTATAGTGTATAGAAGACGTGAGGTAAGCAACCGACCGCTATTTAAAGACGGTGAGCAATTATTCAGTGGTGGTTCGTGTATCAGCTCAATCACGAACTACCCGTGCTACACGGCAAAACTCACAGCTTTTACAAGCTTACTCTTTTACAGCATTTACGCGTTCTTCAAAAGCCTGACTTCGATTAAGAACGCCGAGGAGACCGGATTTCTGAGAAGGGGCAACAGCAGCGAGCCCTATTCGTACCCCACTTTTGAAACAGCCGCACGAATCCGCCGCGGCCGTTGCACGCGTGTCTGCTTTCGTACTTTTCGCTGGTGCATCTCCCAGTGTATTTCTCGCAGCAATGTTTTTGAAAGATTGGAACTACTTTCCAGTGGACAACTGCACAACATGCACAACTAGAATTCGCTACAAAATTGCATGTTCAGAAAACGGGCCAATTGATTGAATATTCGAAATAGCGAAGGCGGAAGCAACGACGGCATTCGAGAAACATAACTGGCGTGAACGTTTCCTCCACGCGCGCGAACGTGGTTTTCCGGCCACTGGCATATTCGCTTGCTCTTCGCTTCTCGAGTGCGAGTGCGCCCTTAAAAGTACTGTTGGTTTGAGTACACAATGAAAGTGTAAAGTTCACAAGACAACCTGCATACTAAAACGAGTATCAAATGTGTTTCCTGAGAAAGGTCTCGTTGTGAAACGCTGGCACCTGTACAAAGAATGGCAACAAAACAAAAGCAAAAATTAACAAAGCAAAAAAAGCATGAAGACACGTGCATCGTAATTTCCTGCGCCATCTTTGCTTAAAGGTATGACATTCACGTGACTCGGCTCAAAGTTAATGACCGCACCTGTGTCTCATCGATCAATGTCCGCAGCCTGCGCGTCTAATTCCTGTATGCGGAATTCGCGTGAGAGTGAAAGTTTAAGCACGAACTGACTTTTTTTATTCAGCGGTCGTAGTTTAACAGTAGGGCACTTTGAAAGTGCAGCAAGCGTATCGGAAATCGCATATCACTCTAAAAA